GCGGCGGCAGGAGGAGCGGGCAGGCGCTGCCCGATTCAAACGCGGCCCCGGAGCGTTACGCGCCCGCGGCCGCTCCCCATTGGCCGAGAGGATTTAAAATCCACGCCGCCCGCCGCGGGGCACCATGGGAGCGCCCCCCCCTCCCTCCCCTTAAAGAGACAAGCGCCGTCAGCGTAGTGGGCGGGGCGGGGCGGGGCGGGGCGGGCACGGCGCGGGTGCTTTCGGCGGCCGTTGGTTGCGGGCACGCGCGGCAGGAGGGCGGCCGTGGGACACGCGTGGGGTCGTTCCACGGGGAGGGGAGGGCGGGGGGGTGTCGTTGTCCCCCGACCGGCACCACCTCCGCTCTGCTTGCACCCGTTTCTCCGCGCCCACGGGGGTGCGTGGGTGGGTGGGCAGCGTTCCCGAGCACGGGACAGGAGGTGGATTTTTGTGGGGGGGAACCGGGAGTCGGAGTTGGGGCCTTCTCCTCTTGCGCTGGCTGCCGCGCATCCCAACCTCGGGCGCTGGCAGCGTCTATGGCTCGCCACATGTACCCCAGAACCCAGTCCTTCGCCCAGCGTTTATTCCGTGGAATCCCACCCACTCCGGGTGGCTCCGTGTCACCTCGGGTGACCTTTGCCGGTTGAGCGTGGCTGTGCCCGACCTCGTTAACCAGCTCTCCCGCTGACCCCACGACAGCCCCGGGGCCCCCTGAGCTGCTCCCGTGTTCAGACACCACGGGCCAAGAGAGGTAACCGCATCGGAGCTTCTCAGCCCTTCACCTGGTCTTGCTGCCTGCTGGCGCAGAACAGAACGCCAAGGAAAAACAACCAAAAACTGCACAAAAACACAGCTATAGCACCTCAGCCCGCAAGCCTGCTTTCTCCCTCCAGGCTCACACAGTCCCACCCTGCTGAAACCAGCGACTTTCCCTTGCATGGCTCCCCTTCCCCGTCAGTGAAAGCTGTTTCTTTCAGCCCTGGCTAATGAAGAATAGATGGTCCTGCGTGCTTTTGCAACGTGCCGGACCCATGGGCGCTGCAGATGACGCCCAGCTAGCCTTTAACTACTGACACAAGCCACTGACTGCCCCAAGGTGGCTCGGGGAGTCCAGCAGATGGGACCAAGCCATGAGCCCCGCAGATCACTGCAGCCAACAGTTAAGCTGTTATTCCCCCAGGAATCTCAGGAAATTCTCAGGAAATCCTGCTCCATGCAAAGCAGACATGGCCTCCACTCAGTGACTTTGTCCCCGCACAGACCCTCACAGGCAGCAGCTCTTTGCCATTCCTTACACTGACCAGCTGCGACTCCAAAGAGCCATTGGCATCAGCGCCTCTCGCAGCCGACAGTGGACAGGGGGTGAAAGAGCAGGAGTACATATCCCAGGACTCCCACTGCCCTGCAATAAAAGCAGCACAGCCCGCCAACCTTGGTTCAGAGCAAACTGGAGTAAAGCACATAGGATCAATGAAGCAATACAGCGACTCAGTGTTTGAAGTGATCACTGTTTGTACAAGATTCCTGAAAGAAGGGGTTTCCCTCTCTGAGGGGCACGCTTCCCCACGCACCTGCAGCTCCGCTTTGGCTACGCAGCAAAGCCCTCCCTTGGAAGTCACGTTTTATTGCACTGCACTAGGCTGAATGTCACCATCAGAAACGCGTAATTCCCCGGGGCTGTAGTAGCACGCTGCAACCTACTGACGCTCCATCTTTGCAGAGCTGGCAGAGGCGTAGAGGTGAGCCCAGGTCAGAGGGATGCTTCAGAGGACAGGAGGATAAAGTGGCCAAATCTAAGGAATATTAACAGTGCTGGGTGTTTGAGATCTTCAGTGGTGACTTGGTTTTAGACCCTGGCAGAGGCCACCTTAACAGAGACAATAAAAGAGGTTTTAATTAAGGCAGAAGGGCCGGCTCAGCCTGCTAGGAAGACTAGGCCAAGAAACGTGCCAGTAACTGCAGTGATGCACCCCTCCGTGCACTGCAGCTGTGCTCCTCAAGTGATCACTCAGACTCTTCCAGCTGCCGTCCCATTCCCACTCTCAAACTCGCATCCCTTAATTTGGCAGCTGCCTCTTCCCACCCCTCTCCCATGCCAGCAGCCTAGCTTTGTGCTGCCCAACTGCGGCCATTAATCAAGCGATCCCGGTGAAACGTCCTGTGTGGTGTTGAAACTTTGAAGTGACACCATGGCAACACAGCACACACAGCCCCCTCCTGACCAAACACAGCTCGGCTTCCCACGCTCCAAGAGACAGCCAACAGCAAGTTAACAGGGCAAAGGAGTACTTGAGAGTGGCAGCGTAAACCCCTAAACATCTGACTTGCAGGAAATCTTGCAGAAATCCCCAAACCTGCCAGGTCTTGTGACCCAGGAGGCCTCCTATAGCCCCTCACTGCAAATGGCTTCTGCAAGGGCTAGTCAGATTCTGGACAGCAGGAACTAAAGGTTTTTGGAAACTGAAGTTAACTGGGAAGCTGCCTGTAGTACAAACACAAGGAACACTTAATACTTTTTCATGTAGGTAGAAAAAGTGGTGAGCCTGGGCCTTCCACATGGACATCCCCCCAAACCCACATGAAATCGCAGGAAGAACACAGCCTCCTTCTGCGCTTGTCTCCATGCCCACTTTGGGAAGGCTGGAGGAACACAGCTGCTATTGAACAGGCATTTCCAGCTAGTATGGGACTAGGTGGTACAACGGTCCTGCTGAATCTGGCCTTGCTAGTAAAACATTTCACCTCTGTTGAAACCAGACCTAACTGAGCCACTGCACCAGACAGCTCAGCAGTACCAGCCCCGCTGTTGCAGCTTCAAGACAGAATCTCATCTTCTTGTCCCAGCTGTGCTCCCTGCCCAGAGAAGCTGGCTCCAGCTCCTGCTGTTTCACAGAGGTGCAAAAGCAGAGTCATGCTATCTGGGATGGCTAGACCCAAAAAGTAGGCCGTTTCCAAGTGCATGAAGCAACACTACCAGAGCTACTGCTCTACCAAATAGGTGTGCCTAACATTTCAGTGCTGAAGAGAGGATTTTACAGTCACCCTAGTGACTGAATAGAAGCAAAGACACTCTGTGTCAGAGCCATTATAAAACAAGAATGCTGGAATCATTTGTGGGTGAAAGTCATCAGCTCAGAGGCAGAAAGAAGCTGTTTCACACTGTACTTCACTTTTTTAATGTGTTGACACTGTAATAGTCAGTAACAGCCTGTAATAGTCACAGAACAAGAGACTGCCACTTGCGTGCCCAGGCACAGCAGAAACCTCACTCTAGTCTCAAGTTTGATTTGAGGAGTCACAACCTTGAGTCACTTGAACAACTGAAGAGTCTTTAATTTATGTACAGTAAAAATACAACCAAACCAGTCAGTGGTTTTACATTTGATTAGCAGTAGTTACTACACTCTTTTAGTACTTGCACAGCTGTTTGCTATTGAAGGTGTATCAGTACTTTGCATTATACAGAACAGCTGAAGGCTCCAGGGCTGCTGATCTCACAGCCATACACCTACTACGTAACTAATATGCGTCCTGGCCCCCAGCTGCTACACTACAACATGCAGGAGCCCCAGTTTTACAAGCTAGAGAAGGACGATGCTAAGCTTTAATTAGAACACAATCAGAGCAGGCAGATTCACTTTTAGCCAGTTGTCTGGTACTGAGTCAGGTACACACAAGTGTCAGCTGCCTCCAACCTTCACAGACCTGCTCCCAGCAAGAATTATTCCTGCTCTATTACATGTCCAAAGTGAAATGTTCACTCTTTACAAGAAGTCTGAAACTCCTTTTTAAGTTTTACAATGCAGAAAAGCACCAAAGAGCTTTCTGCAAGTATACACACCAGGTAATAAATGGGGACAATTGCAGCATTCTCTCACCCACCTCCAGTTTCTGCTTTTAATTACCCACTTTCTCCTGCACCGAATTCTGTGAGTGACATGGCAATCCTCCTTCCAAAGCTCTTTGGCTCTTTAAAGTCTGCGATGTTCAGGAAACAGAACGTGCATTGGCCACAAGAATGCTAACCCTGCGTGACGGGTGAGAGCATAGTACCAATGTCTACTTCAAGAGCTAAAGGCTAAGAAGCATCCTGCCAGGCAAGGCATAGAAAGACAGGTTTCAATGTCAGCCAAAAGTCCTAAAGCCAATCCCAGGATGATGAATGATATCCTGTTCCTACAGGAGAGAATCTCAGTCCACAGGGAGAAAAGGAAGAGGCCATCCACCTCAACACACAGGCCTAGAGAGCAGCAAATATTTTTCCAAAGGGAAGCACTGGATCTAATGAACCCTAGTAAGTAACTGCCGGTAACACACACATCAGCCACACAGCACTTCTGTTCTAGGATGGAGATTGCTTCTAGCAAATGTAAACCCACTTGCTTTGGGTTAGGAACAAAACTGACATGAAAGACAGGCTTAGGCTGCAGAGTATATGCTGTCAACTCTGCCTTCTTCCCCAGCTGCAATGAGGAGATGCTGCCCTTCAGGGAATTGTATCAGCTTTCCTAGCTCCATAACATTTAATGGCACAACTCAGACAACATGGAATGAATTACATTCAGATGAGCATACAAAGTTTAAACAACATGACACAGCAGCTTTCACGAGGGACTGCTTGGCCAGACCATTAGTGTTGAGGAACGCTCACGGAACTGCTCAGGAAGAGCAGAGGACCGTGCCCTGCTCTCACTGAACAATATCCCTCTCCCTGCCCCCAGAATACTCCTGCGTGCCTTTACTGCTCTGAAACATGGTAAATAGGCTACTAGACCTGAGTGAGTGGCAAGAACTTCTGGTAATAGCTCTTTGTAACGTCAATCATGAGTTCCTGGGTACATTCTGGGAGTTCCCCAGAGAAGAGTCCTGGAAGAAGAACAAGAGTATGACCATCAGTGTTCTTGCAGGAGAAAGCAGAAATAAGCTTATATTCAACATTCAGAGCAGTGACTTTGAATTGTAAGTAAATACTAATAGAACAGCAACGGGCTCTTCTCTCATGTTGAGCAATACAGTACAATCGTTGCCATCGTACCCCCTGGGGCAGTCGTCAGACAGACTGTTGCAGCTGGGTCCTGTAACAGCTTCCGCTGTTCCCCATAAAATACTATCAGAAGATAAACGACGGAGCGTGCAATTTGTACAATGAGATCTCCGGCACAGCCAGGTCAACAGGTGGGAACTAAACATTCATATACCTCAGTTTAATGTACCTCCCTCCCTATTAACATATGAATAATGAGCAAGTGGATTTCCTACAGTGTGAACCACTGAAATGCCTGCACAACCAGAAACCACAGGAGGAGAAGGAGTGCTCCCTCTGCCAGAGCCCAATGCCTATTGGGTTCTAGATGCCTGAAAAGCTGCGTTACTTACTGTACAGGATGGCCACAGATGGCATCCTAGTAATACTGTTCCGAATAAACGTGTACCACCTACCTAGCATATACTAAAGCAGCAAGTTTCACAAGTTAAAGTTGTTACTTTTCAGTTCGCCAAGTGCCCTATACCTTTACTTCTAGGCGCTAAATGCTAACAGGCAGCTTTGTCATAGCAATCTCATTTTAAAGTAAGAATATCCATGTTATCCACACTTCTGTGCAAGTAAAGTTAGAGGGAGCATACCTGGGCAGCCCGAGAAGACTGTGAAAGGTGGGACTACCGTTTCAGGAGGTAGTACTGTGTTGTCCAAGATTTTGCAGCAGTCTTTCAAAACGCATCTACGACCCTAAAACAGAGATTAGGTAAAGTTATACTTAAAACATTATATGCTTTTGCTTATTACTGGTAAGCAACCTAAACTTCAACAAGTTTAACTGCTCAAAACACATCCTGTATAAGGGATCACAAGAATAAATCCTTACCCTGACTGAATGCTCTTCCCAACGCAATTAACCTTCTTTCTTTTTTGAGGAAAAAGTCCGTTTGCTCTCGACTAACACGTGTACGGGCAGCTGCATATTAACACGTCAATGTCCAAACTGGAGCCTAAAACCCGAGTCATGCAGTAACGTAGCAAGGCCTTCTCTAACGCAGACAACAGTAACATTGGCTATTTTGTATTATTTGCATAGAAACACAATTCCAGTTCTATTTGTGGAAAGGCTGCCTTCCCCAGACAGTCCCATTAGCCACAGGGACAATATTGTTGGGACGGACTTTCCAAACAGTGGTCAGCTGAACCTGCTATCCTCAGAAAAGCAAAACTGAAAGCACCGCTTTCTGTGGAGAAGGAAGAGGAAGAGAAAGGAACAGTGCAGTGTTAAGTATGCTTGCTCCAGCCAGTTGGTGCAGATACCTCTGCGCTGTTTTTACAAAGCCTCAACAGCGCTCAGGAGTTTAAAGAAAAGACTGAGAAATGACACTCACAATAACACAGTTCTTGCCTATGTGGACATAGGAGCCAATCTGGGCTGCATTGACAACACAGTCCTCTTCTATGAAGACGTGATCACCGATGTGGAGTGGGAAAAAAGCCACCCTGCAACAGGAGAGTTATTTGCTCAGGTGTACAATAGACAGACCGATCTGCAACACTGTTAGACCCAAAATCACACTGTGGAGTCTCCTGTCTCCAGCTGGACTACCAGAGGTAGATTTGATGCTAAGGAAGATAGAACAGTAGCTGGTCTTTCTCATGTCTTTCTAAAGGATGGCCCAAATGAGCAACAGGAAGGTGTTGTGAATAAACAAAGAACAAGTGAAACAAGTTCTTCCCTTAGCTATTTTAATATATCCCAGCCCTCCCCATAGTACGGTCTGAAGGGAATGCTAACCCTCAAGGCAAAGCTGAAAGTTTGAGGAAAAGGCAGGTTTAGAGGGATGTATTTCTGCAAATTGCTGCAAAAAGAACACAGCCCTCTCAGTACAGATCTCATCCGAGCCAATATATTTTTTCAGGTATATAGATTTTAGCCTCAGTCTCCCTAAAGGAAGGGGACCTCTTACCCTTTACTAAACTTCTTGAAGGGTGGTCTAATGACACTGCGGCTTTTCACCACGCAATGTCGTCCAACCCGCACGTTTGCCAGGTCACCACGGATGATGCAGTCATTCATAACTATTGTCTGGAGAAGAAGAGAAATAAATGAACTCCAATTTCTACCTGGCTTACCAGTTACAATACAGACTCACACAGAGGTCAGGCCACCCCAGCACAATTACAGACGATTCCTTTAGTCAAAAGAAAAGCGAGAACAAAGCAAACGCACAGGAGCCTGGAACCGCCAGTTGTGCTCCCATCGTGCCAGTGAGCTGCACAGAGTGAGCCAATGCGCAAAGCGAGGCTTAAGCACAAACAGAAAGACGTTGTCCCACGGATAAAAACATCACGATCTGGTCGCACGTCGAGCTCCGGTACCGCCGGGCCGATAGCGGTTGTCAGCGGGTAGCAGCGCAGCGCGGGTGCTGCTGCGGTGGTGACAGGGACCCCGCGGCTCGGCCGAGCTGCTGGGCGGAACGAGGTACCGGGGCGGGGGTGAGGAATACCGCAGCCCCCTCCCTCCCCACCGCCTACCTTGCCATTGAGAACGATGTTCTGGCTGCCGCACAGCACGGACTGTCGGCTCACCTTATTGCCGGACGCCTGCGGGGAGAAGGGACGGGTCACCGCGGCCGCCTCCCGCGCCCCACCGCCACACCCCCGGGCCTCAGCGAGCCCGACTCGGCCCCCTCAGCCGCCCCGGCCGCCCCGCACCGTCTCGATGTACTCGGACTTGTTGTAGAGCATCTCGCTCAGCTCCATGGCGGCGGCGACGCCGCTTCCGCACAGCCACTCCCGACTTCCGACACGTCACTTCCCTCCCCGCTACCGCCAGCCAAGCGCTTCCGCCGCGGGCTCGGCCTATGGCGGCGCGGTTGCCATGGCTACGCACCGCCCGCTTCCCGCGGGAGGCGGCGGCGGCGGGTCCGGCCGCCATGGAGGGTCCGGCAGGCGGCGGGGAGGCCCTCAGCGGCGCCGAGAAGGAGAAGGTGAGGGGCCGGGAGGGAGCGAGGCCCGGGGCGGCGCGGCGCGGCGGTGCCAGCCCGGTGCGTTGTGTCTTGCAGCTGAGGGAGAAGCTGGCGCTGCTGAGGAGGGAGTACAGCGAGACCGTCAGCCGGCTGCGGGTGAGCGGAGCGGGCCGGAGGGGGGGCCGGCACCGGTCGGGCGCGGGAGGGGGTGGCGGGAGGCCGGTCCCAGCCCGGCGCCGGTCTTGTCTCCGCAGCGGGCCCGGCGAGCCGAGCGAGCCAGGAGCCACGGCCGGGGCACGGCGGCGGATGGAGACCGGCGGGAGCGGAGCCCCGCAGGTAGGAGCCGGCCGCCGGCTTACCGCTTCGGGGGGGGGGGGGGGTTACCCCCGTCGCCCTTTTGTGCCCTCGCGGCCCGGGGACGGGCCCCAGCTCTGCTGAGCGCCTCGCTCCCGGCTCCGCTGTCTCCTCTCTGCGGCTGCTGCCACGTCCCCCGGCCCCCCCACAGCCGCTCGGGGCCTCCCTGGCGCCGCTGAACCGTGACCTGCAATAACGTGTCCTCTCCTTTCCTCCTCCCCAGGTCCGCAGTGCTCCCTGATCCTACCTGTAAGATGCCACTCTTTCTCTCCTAACAAAATCGTCTAGTTTTATTGTGTGATGCTTTTCTTGGACGGGGCTTTGCCGGGAGCCCTTTACACATATGACGTTTTTTCCCACAGGTTCTAGAGATAACGTATCTCCTAGTGCTGACAAACATGAAACCTCTCAGTTACACGCTAAAACCTGCTTTGATCTCAGCACAGAGAAGAAAACGTCTGTCACATTTAAACACGTTCCCGAATTCTCCAACAATGAGGTTAGCCTGCAGGACGGCTCACAGGCAGAAAGCGTACAGGCTAGCCAGGAAAACCTGTGCTGTGGAATCGTTAGGCCTGCCCCTGCAGAGAAAAAAACCCAAACCTCCAGAAGCTTGATGAAGCTGAGGAGACGGACGAAGGCCCTGGTGTCTGAGGAAAGGGAAGCAGTGCGTGATGTCTATCTAGTCAACGCCGATGAAAAGGTGAAAAATCAAATTGCCAGTACAGAGGAACTTCGGTCACCAGTCTTCAGGCGAAGCGGCCTCTCGAACACTGAGGAAAACGCTCAAAGAGCATCCAGACCAGCACTTGTGCAGAGAGAAGAAAACAGTTCCACTCCTCGCAATGCAGCATTAGGGGTTGTACAAGAGATGCTTGAAGACAGTGTCCCTCCAGGAGTGCCTGAGCTGTTCCCGTGTGCACTGAGTGACAGCAGTGATGTCTGGCAGCCTGAGTCCCCAAGTGCTGTGGCCGCATCTGATAACTGTGAGCCTGCATGGCTGTGTTCAGGGAACAGCGACTCTGTTTTACTGGATACCAGTGGTGATGGAGGAACAGAATCCTCCAGTATAATAAAACAAATGGACAGTGAGAGTATGGCTGAAGATCAGGGAGAATTACATAGGCTCTTGGATTTAATGTCAGAAAATGAAGTATTGCCCACTGGTGGAAATAACGATATAATTAACAACAGCAAAAGCCACGAAGGAGATCAAAGTGACACTGATAGCTTAAATCTCTTTCCTACAGATCTTGCTCTGGGCAATGCTGAAGAACTGTTGGAGAATCAACAGCTTGAAATTCAGTCAAAACTTTCTCACCCAGAAAAGGTGACTACTCCTGAAAGCACACTGAACTCTTGCACAGTGGTTGAAGGGCTTCTCTTTCCGGTTGAATACTACGTCAGGACAACTCGACGCATGTCTAACTGTCAAAGGAAAGTGGACCTTGATGCTGTAATTCTTAGCCAGCTGGGCAGAAGCAAAAAAGGTCAGCGAAGTAAGTGCAAGCAGAAGGATGCAAATTCAAGTTGGCCCTCCCAAGAAAGAGTTGAAAATTATTTGGAGTCAGGGGTCACGCCGTTCCCTTTTCTTGGTGCAGAAAATGATCCAGCAAATTCAAGTAGTCCTCAGAAACCTCTTCCTGCGTCCAGTGGTAGCAGCACTTCCCTTGGATCAATTTCTCAAAACAGCATCGCTAGCACAAAGCGAGACCAGAGACAATCACAGAGGAAACAAAAGGGAAGAAGAAAGTCTACCTGCAAACCCCCTGTGCATCAAGTGTCACAGGAACTTACAGGGAGTTTGGATGTCACAACGAGGGAAAGCAGTAATCTGCTGTCAAATGAGTGTCAGAGTGAAAAGGAAAACTGTGAGGCTAGTCTTGAAAAATCATCTTCAGATGAGAGAAGGTTGTCTGCTGCTGCTGCTGCTCTTGGGTCTGGAGAGACAGAAGTGACTGGTGCTATACAGCCAATGAGTGTTGATCCTCCTCCTGGTGGAAGCCAAGTGCTTGGCAAATGCCGTAAGAGTCTATTAGAACAGGTTCAAAATCCTCTTCAGAACAGCGATCCTCTGAACCCAGGGAATGAAGCTTTTGCTAGCCGTATAGGAGATCTGGAAGCCAACTTAACTGTGCATGAGGCTGGTAAACATCCAGTGGAGCATGTTAAGGATCAGCAAGTGCAAGGAGCCCACAGGGCTGAGGAGCTTCTAGCGATTAATGTCCCTCCACGCCGCTCCCTGCGTTCCTCAGTGAGACAGAGAGCCAGTCAAGTCTCAAAAGGTACTTCATCAAATATAAGCACTCCCTAATACTACAGTCTGAGAGGAAGGCAGGGAAATGTTCCAGTGAGTGCATGCACTGCTGTTCACGCCCTGCCGTAAATTTTTATTCAAGAAAATCTGATATGGGTTAACTATTATTTTTTTAAAATAAGAGAGATTTTTTAAAAATTTAGATCATTGTGGAGCCAATGTTCCTTGAACAACTCCAGAAACTTCTGCTTCAGCACAGTGATCAGGAGTGAACAGCAGTGCATGGATGGAGGAGCAGGGCCGAGAACTTAAGCTGCCTTTGCTGTTGGAGCAAATGTTGTGCACACTGGACCTGATTTTCCATCAAATGGATGTAAATCCGTTTCTCCAACTAAGTCTGTGTATTAATGATATTTCTTTTTTTTTTTTTTTTTTAATGCTGACAAGTGTGAAACACAAAGAGTAGCGTTACAGTCTGAGGGTCTGTGAATATTGTGAAAAGAGAAAGTGTTTGGAGAAAACCAAACAAAACAAACTGACCAAGCACTTGGTTAATTCTGGCAGTCTTTGGCAATGATAGTTTAGCTGAAGGCTTGATGTAGAGCAATTGCAGAGTGTAATGTCTTTCCAGAAAAGTGCCACTTCCATGTGTTAAGATGGATATGGCTGTTTTTTTTTTGCCTTTTTTTTTTTTTTTTTTTTTAATGGAAAATAGATTAGAGTGGCACTCTGGATGAGAGATTCTGAAAAGGCTAGTTGCCGGTTATTTTATGATGTGATGTTCTCTCTTGTATTCGTTTGTCTAGATGAGAGCAAAAGAGGATGTAGCTATCCAGTGGGTTCAGAGGGTCCTGCTTCTCTTGGCCTCCCTGCTATGGACACCAATACTTGCAGCTCTCCCTTCTCCTTCCGCAGTCTCCAGTGGCTGGCCCCCAGACTGGGTATCAGAGACTTTCACTTACCCGATGAGGAATTTGGACTACTGAAACTTGAGAAATTAGAATCTTCTCCTGTGAATGACTTGGAGGCTTTTGTTCCTAGTGTGTTTGGAGATGGTGTGGCTTCAGAGGATGCACAAGATGCACAAATGAATCCAGAAGAAAAAAGTCTCGAAAGTAATTTGATTTCACCTTTCAAAAATGGATTGCCCAAGTTACCTCCTGTAGAAAGCCCAGCTTCCAAGAAGGAACTTTACACCCATGAATTGCTATTTACTCCCATGGGGACTGTCTTAGCTGGTGCTCCCACTCAGCCTGAGTCTCTGATTTCCTCATCTGTTTTCCCTGTTGTGGGTGCAACCCCAGCTGTTTTACCATCAGTATGCAGCGAGGTCTTCCCCAACACACCTTCTGTACCTCCCTTGCAAGCAAGCCCACACTCCTCCAAAGAGGCATCTGCCCAGTTTGTGGATGATGGGAAATGCAAAGACTCTGCCATTCCACTGTACTTGGACAGCTGTGGTGCAGGATCTGCTAGAAGAGAGGAGGAACAAGGTACAACATTTCCCTTAGAAGCTGAAAGAGGTCCTGATAAATCCGATGAGGCTGTGGCCTTGGACAAGCATCAGCAGTTGGAGAGCAAACAGCAGAGATCCTGCAGAGCTTCTCCTGAACAGGTGACAAGCTGCCCTCTTTGCCAAGGGTACTAAGCCAGCGGTTTTGTGGGTGAATCCCCTTTTCCAGAGTCTCACCTGACTTCAGGGGAAAGACCTCTTTGCATGCTAGCCCTGCATGCTGTCTTTTAGCTGACTTAGTAAATGTTTGGTTTTCATCTGTTGCCAAAGGTCTTTTGACCTCAAGAGAAAATTCTTTAAAATCCTGCTTGATGCAACTGGAGATGTGGGTTTCAGTGCTTATTGCAGGATGCATGTTTGAAATGTGTGTATGAACAAAAAGTTTCTGGCACCCCCATAGTGTTGGTCTACCTTAAGGAAAATTGTCAGCTAGGATTTGGTAGAAGAGATTAAATGACTCGCATGCGGGATGGGTACTAAGAGAATGACTTGTCTCTGAAGGCTGAGAGATGCGAAGTGGTGGTAAAAGACAATTTTCAGGTGAAACCAGGAAATAACCTGTCTGGGATCTCGTTTTTCAAAGACACGCAACTACAAAAAGAGGTGCTCCTACCATAGCTCTCCAGCAATGGCACACAGAGTGAATTCACGCTCCTGCCTCATTCTTGCAGGTGCTGAATGTCATTTCAAAGTTGAATTAGCCTCCTCATTCTTTCCTTGTTTGTGC